GGAGAGCCTCTAGAGGCCTCACGAAAGTTGTTTCGGGCTTTCTTAAGGCCCTCTGGAGGCCTCCTTGGGCGTATTCTGGGGGCCTCCGGGGCTTCCTCGGGCCACCCTGCCTCCAACTGCGGTCTCCCTGAACGGCCGAATCACGATTTGGAATTCTTCGGAGGGTGTCTTTGGGCCATCTTGGGCCGCCATGGGGCTCTCTGAGGGCCATCTTGGACCCGTGTTGTGCAGTTTTGGGGATCCGTTGGACTGCCTGGAAGCCCTTTCGGATGGTTGTGGGGTGATTTTGGAGCCTCCCAGGCGGCTTCAAACGCCCAGAAGACCGCCGTCTTGGAGCGTCGGGAAGCCGAAAAGAGGAGAACCCTAAAATTCACCAAAAATCAACATAAAATCAATGATTTTTGCCTCGGGGGGCCTTCTTGGGAGTGCTCGGAGGCCTCTTTGGGGCCGTCCTGGAGGCCTCTTGGGCCATCTTGAGGTCACGTCGGTCACTCTTGGAGCGCTCTTGTGCTGTCTTGGGGGTCTCTGGGACGTCTCCGATGACCCCCCTCATCGCCCTAGGTGTTCTGGGAAGGCTTGGAAAAACGCCATGTGAGGCCCGGTGACCGCTTCGAGGCCCGTCTGGAGGGTCTCAAAGCCCCAGATCTCGGGAGACCAGTTTTGGGGGGGGGACGGGTTTTCCCCCCGCCCGGGCTTATAAAAATATAGGAAGAGGAATATGTATATATATATATATATATATATATGTGTGTGTGCATGCATGCATACATGCATGTATGCATGAATGAATGCATGCCTACATGCATACATGCATAACTACGTACATACATAGATCTATATATAAACATACATACATACATACATACATACATACATACATACATACATACATACATACGTAGATAGATACATACATACATACATGCATACATACATACATACATACATACATACATACATACATGCATACATACATACATACATACATACATACATACATCCATACATGCATACATACATAGATACATACATGCATACATACATACAGACAGACAGACAGACATATCTACACGTTTATATACATACATGCATGCAAACATTCATACATAAATACGTACATCTATAAATACGCACATGGAGATACATATATATACAGTTTTATATATATATATATGCATGTATATATATATGTATATAGAGGTATATGCATATATGAATCGATCCGTATAGTAAAAATCGATATATGTATATATTATATATATATATACATAGACAGATAGATAGGTAGATAGCTGTTTGTTGGCGGTCGCGGCCTCGCGAGCAGCAACGAGGCGGGGAAAGTTTCCCAAGCAAGTAGAGGGCACGCGCGGCTGGCCCCTCAGAAGATGGGGCAGGGTTCCGCAACGGCATCGACTCTGCAGTGCGCAAAATTACCTGGGCATGGGCGGCGAAGGCCAAGCAGGCCAGACGGCAGGCAAGAGGGTGCGCAGCACGGCCAGTCCGCAGTGACGAGGTGACAAGGAAGGTGGGCCAGTGACAGGCAGCAGACAGCGAGGACCTGAGCACCGGCACGGCAAGGCAAGGCAAGGGGGTCGCGCAGGGGCCCTTTTCCCTAGACGCGGGGACCCTGGAGCTCTTCACCCCAAAATTCGCACTGCACTTTCAAGCCGTGGTCTTGCCCGTCGTGGGCCGCGAGGCCCAGGGCAGCCATCCAGAGGCCCGAGCCCAGACACGAGCCGCCGTCGTGTCGTTCTGGCAGGTGGTGGGCACGGGCTTGAGCGCAGTTACGCACGCCGAGGGTCCTTCCGACGTGCTTTGCCTGCACGGCGGTCGCGGGCCTCCTCCCTTCTTGAAGGGGCCAACAGAAGTCTCTCGCCTAGGGGGGAACCCTCAACTTGCGAAGGGGCCCACTGGGAGAGGGCCCTCCGAGGCTGTGCAGCCTCCTCGCAGGGTGAGGAGCAGAGACACACAAAAAAACTGTGTGAACAGAAACGTTCGACGGCCCGAGCGGATCTCTTGGACCGGCGCCGTACCCCCGAGCCGCTAGGGGGGCGCCACGGCGCCGATCACAGAGATCCGCACGGAGCGTCGAAAAATTCTACGTTTGTGCCGTGTTGTCCTCTTCGGTCTGCTGCGGCCCAGCTCCTGCCAAGAGAGGCAGGCAGCAGAGCGATGCTGCCAGGGGGGGGGTCCATGGCGATGCTGGCGTAGAGGCGGTAGGCGGCGAACTGGCACTGCTGTGTGGCGAGCGGCTCCAGTGTGCCTCGGGCCCACCCACCCCTGCCCTTGCCCGCCCTTCTTCCTGGGACGCAGAAGGACATACTAGCACGATGCATCCTCACCGGAGGCGTGCGTCCGACCAGCCCCCCCAAAAGCAGTGCTTGCACATAGGGGCTCACCTGTGCTCTACGGATCTGGGCCTGGGTGCCTGTTGCTGCCGTCGCCGCCGCCACGTCGCCGTCTTGTCGCCGCCCATTGCTCTGGGCCTGCATTGCCGTGCTTTGCATTGCATTGCTTTGATGTGCATTGCCTTGTACCACATAGATTGCATCACATAAGTTGCACCACATATATTGCACCACCTAGGTTGCAAAACATAGGGTGCACAAAGATACTGCACATCAGTAGTTGCACAACATGCATTGCACAACATCGACTGCACCACATAGACTGCACGACATGTCATGTACCACATCAGTTGCACAATTCATTTAGCACAACATAGGTTGCACAGCATATAGATTGCACCTCACAAAGTATTCGACATACATCGCGCAACCGGTAGTGCACAACATGGATTGCGCCGCATAGAATACATCATATTGCACTACATGTGTATAGTTATATATACATGTGTATATACTTATATACACACGCGTATGTATAAATATAATCTTGTACAGCATAGACTGCGCCATCCCTCTTGCCCCACACAGATTGCACCACCTGGACTGCAACTGCACAACATTCATTGCTAGAAACGCACTGTTTTGGAGGGCCAACGCTGGCGAACGCCACGCAGTACAGCCATAATGTAATACCTCGCCTACGCCAGCGGCACGGCCAGAAAACGACCGCCAACGAGTATATAGACTATACGATGACGAGCGCGCGCGTCGCCCCTGTGGCGGCGACGCCCGCACGGTGGAAGTACGCGTGGACGACGCAGGCTCCACGTCATCCTACTACACCCCATTCCTCCTCCTCCTCCTCCTCCTCCTCCTCCTCCTCCTCCTCCTACTCCTCCTCCTCCTCCTCCTCCTCCTCCTCCTCCTCCTCCGCCCTCCTCCTCCTCCTCTCCTCCTCCTCCTCCCCCTCATCCTCCTCCTCCTCCTCTGGCCCTCCTGACGGTGCAAGCGGGAAACTGGTGGAAAAGGGGAGCGGCGGGGCCGGAAGCACGCAGGAGCAGCGGGAGGGGGTGTGGGCAGGAGGAGACGGCAACATGCGTTCCTGCTTGCATGATCTGGCAAGCCATGGCACGCGGTGTACAACATGCGAGGACAAGGCTGGACACGGCGCGGGGGCGGCATCCATGCGAACCCTGGCACGTGTGCCTCAGCTGGAGCTCTCTCAGAGGCCACGGGACGTGCAAGTGGTGTGCCGAGATGGAGCGGAGCCGCCATGCGAACCCTGGCAGTGGGGCTTTAGTTGGAGCTCCCCATGGGGCCACGAGACGTGTGAGGGGTGTGCCGAAATGAAGCGGCGGCGCCGTGCGAACACTTGCATGTGGGCCTTAGTTTGGGCCCCCTTTATGGGACACGAAACATGTGAGGAGTGTGAAGGAATTCAGGTGGCACCGCCATGCGAACCCTTGCATGTGGGCCTTAATTGAAACCCCCATGAAGGGGGCACGAAACGTGTAATTGGTGTGCAGCAATGGAGGCGGCACCACCATGCGACCCTTCGTATGTGGGCCTTAGTTGAAGCTCCCCATGGGGCCACGACGCACGCGGAGATTGGCATGCGGGATGAGACGGGCAGGGGCAAGGAAAGGTAAATGGGGTGATAGGGAGGATGAGGAGGTAGGGGAAACGCGGGGCGCTGCTGATTCAAAACGAGGACCCGGCACCACATTGATGGTTGGGAAAACATCCAAAAAACGCAACAAAGAACCAAAAAAACATCCAAAACCACCAAACCAGGAAAAACAATCCACTACATAAACAACAACCATAGCAAACAAAAAAACCATAGCAAACAAAACCAACAAAAAAAAGAAAAAGAAAGCAAAAGGCCGCAATACCCAACTCATACATGCAATTCTCGTATCGAACCCCAAGCATTAGGGCGTACTAAGGCCAAAGGAAAAAACACAAAGACAACAGATGAAGAGCCACAGGGAAGACAAATTATCAGGCGGACGAGAACGAACTCGTGAGAAACGCTGGAACAGAATTAACGAATCGGTATCGAAGCTGCGAATATCCGCTTCGGTGGAACCCGTCATGGGGCCACGAACCGTGTGAGTGGTGTGCCGAAACGAATGCGGGGGCGCCATGCGAGCGCAGCCATTGGGGCCCCCGATGGACCTGAGTTGGAGTTCCCAGCGGGGCCACGAAACGCGTGAAGGTTGCGACGAAATCGGCGCGACGACCACATGCGGACAATGCCACTTTGGCATTCGGCGGAGCCACCCACCTTGGGCCACGGAACGTGCGAGAGGGTTACCGAATCGGGCGCGGAGCCGTCGCGCGAGCGCAACCACTGGGATCCTCGATGGAGCTCCCGATGGGGCCACGAAGCATGGGAGGGTGCGCCGAAACGGGTGCGGGGCCGCCATGATAGCGCAGCCACTGGAACCTTGAGTGGAGCAGCCCATGGTGCCACGGAGCGCCTGATCCCTGTGTGCTGAATCGGGTGCGGGGCCGCCATGCGAACGCAAGCACAGGGCCTTCGGTGGTGCTCCCGATGGGGCCGCGGAACGTGTGAGGAGTGTGCCGAAGCGGGTGTAGGCCGCCATGCGCACGCAGCTATTGGAGCCTTCGGTGCAGCTCACGTTGGGACCACGAAGCGTGTAAGGAGTGTGCCGAATCGGGTGCTGGGCCGCCATGCGAACGCATATCCTGAAGCCTTCGTTGGAGCCCCCGAAGGGGCCACGAAACATGTGAGGGGTGTGCCGACATGAAGCGGGGCCGCAAAGCGAACGCAAGCACAGGGCCTTCGGTGGTGCTCCCGATGGGGCCACGGAACGTGTGACGAGTGTGCCGAAGCGGGTGCGGGGCCGCCATGCGAACGCAGCTACTGGAGATGTCGGTGAAGCTCCCTGTAGGACCACGAGACGGGCAAAGGGTGTGCCGAATCGGGTGCGGGGCCGCACTTCAAGCGCAGCCACTGGGGCGCTCGTTGGAGCCCCCGTGTGGGGCCACGAGGCGTGTGAGGGTGCGCCGAATCGGGTGCGGGGCCGCCATGCGAACGCAAGCACTGGAGCCCTCGGTGGCGCTCCCCATGGGGCCGCGAAGCGTGTGAGGGAAGTGTCGAACCAGACGCGGAGCCGCCATGCGAACGCAGCCACTGGGGCATTCGGTGGTGCCCCCTTATGGGTCCACGAACAGTGTGATGGATGTGCCGAATCGAGCGAGGGGCCGCTATGCGAACGCAGCAACTGGCGCCTTCGGGTGATGTCCCCGATAGGGCCAGAAAACGTGTGAGGGGGGGCATGGACATGCTGAGGCCAGGGGCAGGTATGGGAGGAGGGAGGAGGGAGGAGGGAGGATGGCGGAGGGGGAGGAGGGAGGAGGAGAGGAGAGGAGGAGAGGACGTGGGGCGCTGTCTCTTCAAAACGAGACGAGACCCGATGGATAGTCGGGAAAAAGAGGAGAGGGAGGAGGAAGCGGGACGACGCGGGTCGCTGCGGAGCCGAGACGAAGACCCACACACCACAGGATGGTTGGACCAATAATTAAACATCATCAAAAGATGTGTTACTCGACGTGCTGCACGGTTCGAAAGCTCGAGACGCAAACTGCCGCATGGAAACCAAAAACTGATAAACATAATGCTTCGCAAGCAAGCGCTAGTACGGAATCGGTGGCATTGCTTGACGCTCCCATGCGTGGCCATGTAACGATATTGATCTATCGACGTTCTGCAGATGTCGCGATGCCGAAAAATCCACAGGCGAGAAATAGGGGAAACAAAACGGTACACCACAGCCAGGGCTCTTGACGCATACTTGGCTCTGCACACCGTTTGGACAAAAATCTTGCAGATCCTCCTCATGCGTGCTCAATTATGCCAAGCGCGGAACCTGTGATGTTTGGGCTGCCCTCCATCGCAAGATTCAACCAAGAAATATCCTGGCGAAGGGCTCAACCATACGTTGTTGTGGGTACCGCCGTTGTGGATCTCGCCGTCGGTGGATCTCACTAAGGGGCCACGATGTGTGTAAGGGGTGTGCAAAAATTGGGCGGGGACGCATATGGACGCAGCCATTGGGCCTTCGGTGGCGCTCCATTTGGGGCCACGAAACGTGTGAGGGGTGGGCCGAAATGGATCGGGGCCGCCATGCGAACGTCGCCATTGGGGCCTTCGGTGGACCTCCCTATGGAGCCAGGAAGCGCGGTACTGAGTGGAGGAGAAGCATGCAAACACCGCCACTGGGGCCTTGGATGGAGCTCCCTATGAGGCCACGAAACGTTGTACTGGGCGGGGGGGATGCATGCAAACACCGCCGCTGAGGCCTCCGGTGGAACTCGTCATGGGGCCACGAAACGTTGTATTGGGTAGAGGAGACGCATGCGAAACCCGCAACTGGAGCCCTCGGTGGAGGTCCTTATGAGGCCACGACGCACTGTGCTGGGTGGGGGGAACGCACGCGGACACGGGGCCTTCGAACACGAAACGCTGGCATGCGGACACTGCCACTGGGGCCTTCGGTGGTGATCCCCATGGGAGCACGAAACGCTGTACTGGGTGGGGGAAACGCATGCGGACCCCGCCACTTGAGCCTTCGGTGGAGCTCCGTGTGGGGCCACGAAACGCTGTACTGGGTGGGGGAAACGCATGCGGACACCACCATTGGGGCCTTCGGTAGAGCTCCCTATGGGGCCACGAAACGGTGCACTGGATGGAGTAAACGCATGCGGACACCACCACGAGGGCCTTCGGTGGAGCCCCCATATAGGGCCACGAAACGCAGTACTGTGTAGGGGGAAAACGGGGGTAACGCATGCGAACGCAGCCACTGGGGCCTTGGGTGGAGCTCCCTATGGGCGACGAAACGTGTGAGGGGTGGGCCAAAGTGGAGGGGGGCGACATGCGAACGCAGCCACTGGGGCCTTCGGTGGAGCTGCCTATGGGGCCACGAAATGTGTGAGGGGTGGGCCAAAGTGGTCAGGAGGCGATGTGTGAACGCAGCTACTGGGCCCTTGGGTGGAGCTCGCTATGGGGCCGCGAAACGTGTGAGGGGTGGGCCAAAGTGGACAGGAGGCTGCATGTGAACTCCGCCGCTGGGGCCTTGGGTGGAGCTCCTTATGGGGCCACGAAACGTGTGAGGGGTGGGCCAAAGTGGTCAGGAGGCGGCATGTGAACGCAGCCACTGCGGCCTTGCGTGGAGCTCCCAATGGGGCCACGAAGCGTGTGAGGATCGGGCCAAAGTGGACAGGAGACGGCATGCGAACGCAGCCACTGGGGCCTTGCGTGGAGCTCCCTATGGGGCCACGAAACGTGTGAGGGGCGGGCCAAAGTGGACAGGAGGCGGCATGTGAACGCAGCCACTGGGGCCTTGGGTGGAGCTCCCTATGGGGCCACGAAGCGTGTGAGGGGTATGCCAAAGTGAGGGGGTGACGGGAGGAGGGGGAGGGGGGGGGGGAGAGGAGGGGAGGAGTAGGAGGAGGAGGAGGAGGAGGAGGAGGAGGAGGAGGAGGAGAAGCCAGAGGAGGAGGAGAAGCGGAAAGAAAAGGAAGGACGGAGGAGGGAGGAGGAGGAGGAGGAGGAGAAGGAGAAGGACGTGGGGCACCGTCTCTTCAAAACGAGGACCCAACACCACAGAATGGTCGGGAACCATTCGAAGCAGCAGCATAATTGCAACACGAAACTAAGTGTTCGAGCACAGCCCGAGGTGTGACACATTATTGCACACCGAGCCCCATGAGCTCCAGCGCACGGAGGCCGAAGGATGCGCCCGGCCTCTGTGTCCGAGCCTCGCCCTTCCTTCCAGCGCTCCCGCAACAGTTCGCACGCCCCTGCCCTCTTATGCCGCCCCGCCGACCGACGAAGACGGCCAGAACGAAGAGGCACAGCGCGCTAAACAACCCCTCCTTGAACAAGGACTCCTGCGGCAGCACCGCAGCCGAGGAGGGAGCAGGAGGGCAAGACCCAGACGCCGGCGGCGAGGGCTGCGAGCACGGAGGCGGAGATGGCGGCATCAGCGCGGGTGACTATGGCACGGGCCAGTGCGCACCCGCACGAGGCAGGCCCGAGCGAGGACCACCACCCACCGCACACCTTCCACAAACCGCCGCACGCCGACCACCAGCCGCTGCACCCACTGCGACCCACCACCAACGCGCAGCGACCACGGGGAATGACCGCCCGGTGCTGGCGCATTCCAGGAGCCCATCGGATCGCATGACCACGGCAGGCCCAAATCGCCTGGCAGAAGGGCGTGCGTGGCTCCCGCTCTACAGGCCGTTGCCCCAAGAAGGCGGTAGCGCAAATATGCAAGGCATCACGGGCAGCACCAAGACTCCTGACCGTCCTATTTCGCCCCAGTCCCCTTTGAATTCCCCCATCCCCCCGCCCTTCTTCACACATTATCTCGAAAGGGGTACCCTAACGCGGCTTATTCTGCAGTACCAAACCACGGCGCTGTCATTCATTGCACTGCAAACTGTATGTGGAAAGGGGCCTGATTGCTGTGAACGGGAACAGATGGAAAGTAGCGGTGGTGTCAGGTAGCGTCAGGACATGAGTAACAGGCCCGGAACAGACACGCGGCACTGCATGTCCAGACCCACACTGGACGCCAAAGCAGCGACGAGACCATGGGCAACCTGGCAAGCACAACAGGATGGGTCAGCAGCAAGGGGATCAGTAGACACACTAGGCGAAGCTGCAAAACGCAAGCTGCATAATGACTTTCTGATTTCTTATGGACAGCGAGAGAAAGCCAGCCTCAACTTCCAGCACCATGATGATCTGGACGAAGCGCCTCAGAACCAGCACCGAACCGAATCTGCAGATAACGGTGGTGACCTGCGCGAGTCCTCTCCCCCCTCCTCCCTCCTCCCCTCCGCCTCCTCCTCCTCCTCCTCCTCTCCTCCTCCTCCTCCTCCTACTCCTCCTCTCCTCCTCCTCCTCCTCCTCCTCCTCCTCCTCCTCCTCCTGTGGATACGCAGATATATGAAAGGCATCACGCACCCGCCGCCGAGACCTGACGTCTGGAAAATAATCCCCACATTCCCTCTCGGAGTCTACCGAGGCCCCCCCCAAACGGCTCGAGCTCCGAATCTGTATCTGAACCCTTCCCAGGGCCCCTCCTTGCCCGCGGCGACGAGAACCTCCAGAAGCCCCGTAAATTTCCAGAACAAAAAAACACGCCGACGACTCTACGTCGGCATAAGGGAGCCCTCTGGGCAATTCAATCACGGTGCCACTTGCTGCCGAAGGCGACATCGAGGGCGCGTCAGCATGGCAAATCTCCACGGCCATCCGGGCCTCGTTCTCTCTCCCCGTATATCTCGATGTTTTGTTTGTTGATTTTTATCTCTCTCTCTCTCTCTCTCTCTCTCTCTTATATGTATGTGTATATATATATATATATATCATTGGTCTATGTCTCTCTCTCTCTCCCATTGCCTTTATCCCCTGCCTCCTCCTCCTCCTCCATCATGCAATTATGCTTTCACTCGCACTGCCACGTACAAGGCTGTCACCAGATGCACTCGGGACATGGCGACTGATGGAGCTGGTGGTGGAGAGGATTTCAAGGATACCTGTTCTCATTGCCACGAGACACTGCTGCGGCTGTATAGGAAAAGCTGGAAGAAACAGACCAGGTAAGCAAAACGGCCGAGCGTAGATACGCTTTGATCAGGACGACGGTGGTGCTCATTCCTTTTTCTCGTCTCATCTCTCCTACATCCTCCTCCTCCTCCTCCTCCCCCTCCTCCTCCTCCTCCTCCTCCTCCTCCTCCTCCTCCTCCTCCTTCGCTGTTTACCCCCATCAGAATCGGCCCCTGGACCTCTGCTGGAGAGCGGTCTGTCGAGGACTTCGAGACGGATCCGGTCCTGGCGACGATGTGGAGTCCCGAAAGCAAGAAGAGGACGAGGATATGGAGGATGAGGAAGATCAAGAGGGACCTCGTGCAGGATCAAGAGGATCCTTGTCCTACTCCTCCTCATCTTCATCCAGAAGAGAGCACACACACACACACACGCACATCAAGGCAGGAGACCGCCTGCCTGCAGGACCACGGCTCGCAGCACGTCCCATCGCAGGAGCCGGTACGACAGCTTGAACATGGACGGGAGGCGGTTTCGTTCTCCCCGCCCACAGCTCTCCCGCTCCATCTTCTCCGGACTCCCAGCGTCACCGAAAGTCCGCGGCGGCCGCGATGTTTCGGAGGTGCTGGGTCTGTGGGGGCAGCTTCGGAACCCAGGGTCGTCGAGCTATCCCAGCTGGGCGCCTTGGCAGCAGGAGGTTCACGTTCCCGAAGGGCCCAGTGTGTTGGACGCAATTGTTGTGGACGCTTTGGACACCTGCGAGTCCTGGAATGGCGAGAACCACACACCCGCGCCACACTTGCTGGACTTGTCAGACTTGGAGTAGACAGACCGACAGACAGACAGACAGACGGACAGACAGACAGACAGATAGACAGACAGACAGGCAGGCAGACAGACAGACAGGCAGGCAGGCAGGCAGGCAGGCAGGCAGACAGACAGACAGACCATCGTAGTGGACAGATGTCCGCACCTACACCAGGCCAGGTGGGTGAGGCCCTGGCCTCAGGCTTTTCATACAGAAAAATTCGTGACAACAACATGTCATAATAAGTCAGACCAGGTCAAATCAACATGTCAGGTCAGGTCAAACTCGGAGCGATGAGAACCCGATGCCCCTGCCATGCACTTTGGTCCTAAGAGGCCTGAATCTAGAACACCAACAGCAATCATGAGTGACCCAAACCTGTTCGACCCTGAGACACCTGGAACAACGAGGACCATGCGCCCCAGTCGTGCTCCCTCGTTGCTGTCCGGTGTCTCTCTCTCTCTCTCTTTCTATCTCTCTCTTTCTCGCTCTCTCTCTCTCTCTCCTCTCTGCGTCACTCAGCCCCCACTGTCTTTCCCTTTCCATCCCCCTCCCCCTCTCTCTCTCTCTCTCGCTCTCTCTCTATCTCTCGATGTTCTCTCGCTCTCCCTGCCGTGGCCTAAACCTGCAGCGGTCTGTCTCTGAAGCACGGCGTTGCTCCGAGAGACCTCGACTACAGTGGGATGCCGAGCTGGCCACAGCCCATATGAAGAGGCGCATGAACAGCACATGTTTTCCATTGCCCAGCTGGGCTGACGAATGCCAAACGACAGGTAGACAAGGCTCCACGACAACGCCCAGGACCCAGTCCAGATTCTTGATCTTCTCAAGCGAAATCTGGAGCCCATGAAAGTCGACGCTTTTTTACGATGTCTGATGGGTGTAAACCAGGCTCGAATTCCTCACCGTTCGTCACCAAACGTGCGAGCCCTGTGCACGTGTGCTTCGCTGTGCCCGGCCCTCCTTTGGCTCTGGCGAGCTCCTCCAGCCAGCATCGGTCAAAATCCTTGTACAGGGAGTCGGGGTCCTCCAATGCAGGGGCGGAGGAGGCAAGTGACGAGGGCAAGGGAGAGGAGGAGGAGGAGGAAGGGGAGGAGAAGGAGGAGCAGGAGAAGGAGCGACAGGGGAGAAGGAGCAAGGGGGACAGGGACGATGGAAGAAGAAGGGGGGAGGAAAGGTGAGCGGGAGGGGGAGGCCGAGTCCGGACGCGTGCTGACGCGAGGTCTGGGTAACTGGGGCACCGATCGGACCCTTCGCCAGGGATTGCATTCGCCGCTCGGCGCCTTGCACGCTACAGGCGCAAAAAAACATCGAAGAACTTCCATCCTCGATCCTCCTTGGCTCCACATCCCGAGAGAGCTCTCTCGAATCTTGTCCGTGTCCGCATGGCGTGCGCAGGTCCCTCGACACTGCGCCGTGCTCCGAACGAGGTGTTCCCGCGTCGACGCGGGGAGGGGGTCCCTGCATCTATTTTGAGAGCGATGTGAGCAGAATGTCTCACACGGACCCTGCGGTCACACTCATGATTCAGATCTTGAGACTTGGCCACACGCAGAGTAGCCAGCCAGCCAGCCTCCTCCTCCTTCTCCTCACCCTCCTCCTCGATCCTCATCGATCCTCCTCGATCCTCTTCCTCGATACTCCTCGATCCTCCTCGATCCTTCTCATCCTCCACACCCCCACGCTCCAGGAACGTGGGCAAGGGCGGCGCGTCGTGTCTCTGGAGCGGGGCCTTGAAGCCAGCGACCTGCCACTCCCCCCACCCAGCCCAGCAGAGCAGCATGGGGCAGGAGAAGGATCGAGGAGGAGAAGGAGGAGGAGGAGGTGGAGGAGGAGGAGGGGGAGGAGGAGGGGGAGGAGGAGGAGGAGGAGGAGGAGGAGGAGGAGGAGGAGGAAGGAGGGAGGAGGAGGAGGAGGAGAAGTAGGAGGAGAGGCGAGGAGGGAACGGATGAGGAGAAGGAGGAGGAGGATGATGAGGCGGAGGAGGATGATGATGATGGAGGAGAGAGGAGGAAGAGGCGGAGGAGGAGGAGGAAGAGGACGAGGACGAGGACGAGGGAGAGGAAGAGGAAGAGGACGAGGAAGAGGAAGAGGAAGAGGAAGAGGAAGAGGAAGAGGAAGAGGAAGAGGAAGAGGAAGGAAGAGGAGAGAAGAGGAAAGGAGGACGAGGACGAGGACGAGGACGAGGATGATGATGATGATGATGATGATGATGATGATGATGATGATGATGATGATGATGATGGTGATGATGGTGATGATGATGATGGATGGGTGATGATGATGATGAGGATGGAGGAGGAGGAGGAGGTGGAGGATGGTGATGATGATGATGATGGTGATAATGATGATGATGATGATGATGGTGGTGATGATGATGATGATGATGATGATGATGACGCTGATGATGATGTTGATGGTGATGATGATGAGGGTGATGAGGATGATGAGAGGAGGATGAGGAGGATGATGAAAATGAGGATAACGATGATGATGATAATGATGATGATAATGATGATGATGGTGGTGATGGTGATGGTGATGGTGATGATGGCAATGCTGATGCTGATGGTGATGCTGCTGATGATGATGGTGATGGTGATGATGATGATGATGATGATGATGATGATGATGATGATGATGATGATGATGATGATGATGATGATGATGGTGACGAGGAATATGACGATGACGATGACGATGATGATGCTGCTGATGATGATGATGGTGATGATGGTGATGATGAGGAGGAGAAGGAAGAGGAGAGTGCGGATGGGGGAGAGGAGAAGGAGAAGGAGGGGGAGGAGGAAGAGGAGGAGGAGGAGGAAGATGAGGAGGAAGAGAAGAGAGGATGAGAAAGAGGAGAAGGAAAAGAACAAGAAAGAGAAAGAGGAGGAGCAGAAGGACGAGAAGGATCGAGGAAAAGGGAAAGGAGGAGGAGGAGGAGGAGGAGGATCGAGGAGGATCGTGGAGGAGGAGGATCGTGGAGTAGGAAGAAGAGGTTTTCGGGGAGGTGTAGCTCCGCGACGTGCCCCACTGGCTCGCCGTCCCTGTTTGGGGGCTGCCCGGATGTTGATGAGGCCTCCTTTCCGTCCAGAGTGGTGGCGTCTCCAAACGCCCTGCTCTCGAGGGCTTCAGTCTTCATCCACGAACCCAACCGCAGCTCGGCGCTCGACGCCCCCCGTTCTACCTGGCGAAGGGGGCTATATGCTGTGCAGAAAACGATGCAATGCAGTATTTACCCAACCCGTCGCATGACCACGGAAGGTCCATGCTCACTCTCGGCAGCGTGTCTGGGGCACTCTCGACCGCGCTGCTCGGGGCGGCAGCTCGTGGTCGAGCTGACAGGCCAGCGGCGCTTGCGGACATGCCCTGCACCGGCACAGCTGGCAACGACGACAGACGGAGACGCGATGGGGCGGCAACGACCGAGGGGGGACCACGAGGACGAGGAGAAGGAGGAGGAGGAGGAGGAGGAGTCAGGAGGAGTCAGGAGGAGGAGGAGGAGGAGCAGGAGGAGGAGGAGGAAGAGGATGAGGAGAGGAGGTTCTTGGAGACGGGCCTAAAGCCAAGCGGTGACGCTTGAACAACATCGGACGCATCAGAGTCCGACCCGTCTCCAACGGGGGGCGCGGCTCGCGTGGCAGCTTCCCCCCGAGCTCTCACCCAGGCGAGGTCAGCCTCCGATAAATCGACCTGGGCCGAAACCTGCTCGCGAGGGGCGAAAACAGACAGCACGCTGCCGTGCACGGAGAGCCATCCGGCCTCGGCCCCAGGGCTCCCTAAGCACCCAGCGCCTCGACCAACAGTCCCCACGCTCGGCGAGGTCCGGACAGCTCGGAGCCACCACCGAGGGCCAAGCACTCCCAGTCCGTCTTGCAATTGCAAGAAGGACACCTGCTCCGGCCCCATCTTCGGAGCAGGGAGTTGAAGCTTGCGATCTCCGTCTCCCGGTGCGGTGCTCTCGCTGCCCGGGCGCACTTGGCACTTGGGGAGGAAGGGGGAGGGAGGACGAGGGAGAGGAGGAGGCGGCGGAGGAGGAGGAAGAAGAGGATAAGGAAGAGGATAAGGAAGAGGAGGAGGAGGAGGAGGAGGAGGTAGAAGAAGAAGAAGAAGAAGGAGAGCAAGGAGCGAGGAGGAAACGGGACATAGGGGCGAGGAGGAGAAGGAGGCGCAGGAGGAGCCCGCGCCCCCCGGGGCACGGGTCGTGGCAGGACCCCGCGAGCTGCTCACCTCTGCGCCGGCGAGGCGGGAGGCGCACAGGGCGCCCTCTGGCGGGCGGGCGCAGAGCGGGGCAGCGCTGGCCGGATCTCGGAAGGCCCGGCGCGCTGTCGTGCGCAGCAAAGCGCGCCTCGCCCGAGGCGCTGAGGGCTGCACGCGGCGAGGGTGCCGGACTGGACTTGGAGCTCCCTCCCCCTCCTCCTTCTCCTCCTCCTCCTCCTCCTCCTCCTCCTCCTCCTCCTCCTCCTCCTCCCCCTCCTCCTCCTCCTCCCCCTCCTCCTCCTCCTCCCCCTCCTCCTCCAGCCCTCAGCGTGCGACAGGTAAGGGAGCTTGCGGCGGTTCGTTCGTGCGCTCGGGCACGGGCGCGTTCTGCTGCACTGCGCTCGGTCGGAAGGCCGGCGGCCGCGCCCAAGAAGGGCGAGGGGGCGGAGGGGACAGGGACAGCAGAGGCAGTGGGCGATAGAGTCGGAACAACTCGCACAGCCGAAGCGGCCCATAAACGGGATGATAATATCAGTTCATCGGCTGGTGATCCAGGCGCCCGCTATGGTCTTCAAATGGGCCCAGACTCGCACAGGGGAGGACAACCTCAAAACCCAGTTTACTCCCGGCTCTCATTCATCTCATCCAAAGTGAGGACCTCGGGAAGTGAGAGCCAAGCACGGGCACGGCGATGACACAAGAGGTGGAGCGAGCCAGGGAAACAGGGCAGAGCGGAGGGCGGAGGAGAAGAGAGGCTGAATCCACTTCCTACAAACACAAAATCGCAACGGGGTGTGGTCGACTGTGCTTGCCAAAACGTTCCAAAACGCTCCTGCGCGAGCAGGGCCACGTCAGCCTCGCGGGCTCGCAAGGCTGCCTCGCCAGCGGCTTGGACGCCCCTCAGCTGGACGACGCAGCGAGACGGGCATGGCCAGGGCAGGGGGATGAGAGGCCACTCCATGCGGCGAGCTGCTGAGCGATGCCCGTGGCAAGCGCCCAGCAGAGGTGGCGGCCCACCTACCCCTTCATCAGGTCCTCGAGGCCGCAGTGCTCACGAGCGGCCTCCTCGTGACAAGCGTGCCACCCTTCCCACCACCCCAGGAGAAGTCTGGGAAGCCATTCGCCACCTCCTCCTCCTTCCCCTCCTCCTCCTCCTCCTCCTCCTCCTCCTCCTCCTCCTCCTCCTCTCCTCCTCCTCCTCCTCCTCCTCCTCCTCCTCCTCCTCCTCCTCCTCCTCCTCCTCCTCCCCCTCCTCCTCCTCCTCCTCCTCCTCCTCCTCCTCCTCCTCTTCCTCTTCCCGCCAGCCCGCAGCCGTAGACGCGACAGGCACCGAAAGGGGAGCTCCCGCAGAGAGCTAGGCCCAAAACCTGAACATATCGCTGCGCTTGAGAGAACTGGCGGCGGTCTTAGCATGGTGTGGATCGCCTATGACCCCGTAAACGCAGGATGTGAGGCGGAAAAACAAACGATTGGTCGAACTTCCCATTGTCTTCTGGGGCATGACGGAAGCTGCAGACGGCGCACGTCCCCCCCGTCTCACGAGCCCGCACCCGCCATGTTACATGTTTGCCCAGCAGCTCCTCACACGTCGGCCAACGATGCCTCTGGGCCCATGCGGACACCTAGGTAACGTGCGGTGGGAGCACTGGCGAAGGAGGCCCACTCTCGGGCTTCGACGTACGACAACGGAAGTGTACGCTGGACAACTGTGTCAACAACAAGCGTCAACAATGGCAAGAGGCAGCATTTTCTTGAGTGGAAAGATGAGACCAGCACGAGCAGCAGCAGCTGCTGCAGGCTGGAAGTGGGGAAACCAACAAAAAGTACCGACACCGCTGCTCCCTGGACAGCTCCCGGGGTGCGCTCTGACCAGAAGTTCGAAGCGACTCCGGCGGTGGCGACGAGGGCCTCCCAGGAGGCCAAATCAGGGAAAAAACACGGTGGAAGGGCAGCAGGAGCGGTACCTTTTCCTCCCCTGAGCAAGTCAGGAAGAGGAGGGCTGGGAGGTGCTGGACGCGTCGGGGGGCCGCCCCAGCATCATTCAGCACGGGCGCGCCCAGGCGCCGAAGCCATCCGCGGGCGCCCCCAGCGGCCTCGAGGGGCACGTGACCAGGCTGCGGACCAAGGGCGGGCCCACCCCGGGGGCCCACGGGGACCCGGACCGCGGGCACCCCCTGCGGGGCGCCAGAAGAGAGGGCAAAGAACTCCTTCGCGCAGCCTGCGACTCGAGCGAAACCGACGGCGCTGCACGAGAGGGCCTGGAGCACACAAGAAGCTAGATCGGCTGGATTCCGAAGCCGACGGGGAACCTTCCCCGGCCAGGGCTGGCCCGTGCTGGGAAAGACGGCTCGGGCGTCAGAAGCGACAGCAACTGGCATTCGGCTCTCTCTGGCCATCCCCTCCGAGGCCAGCACTCCTGCACAGAGGACGAGGGAGCTCCGAGGACTGGCGCGGATGGCGAGGCGAGTGGCACGACCTGCGCTGGCCCCAGGCAGGGTCTGCGGCACGCCACGCGGTGGGAGCTCCGCCGTCGACGCTTGCTGC